GGGATTAGACGCGACAGGGGCAGGGCAGGGGAACGGGAGGGTACCTGACGCGATACGGACAGGACGGGTACGAGAGGGTACTTACCTGACGCAATGCGGATGAGACCGGGGACGCATGAAATAACGCCAAGGAGACTGAGAGACTGGAAAGGGACAAGGAGCCTGACGGATCGAGACCAATCAGCGCAGTTGCTGAGAATTCGCCTTCTTTCTAGCTGAGCTAACGGACGGCAAACACCGAGGCTAATTTTCAATTGGAGTCACATGAATCTGCCCTCCTAGTGAACAGAGGGATGTCTCCTGAGTCTGTAAGATGAGCGAACGAGCATTTTAGACATGACAACTCCTACCAGCAAGCAAAAGGAAATTAACCACTACTAGAAATCGGGTTTATGAATAATGCTTACTGCGTTTCCCATTACTGTGACCCACGATATCTCGGTATATCTACAAGAGCCATTGCACATTTCGATGTCCCTAATAAAAGATGCTTATTACGATGTTTGCTTGCCAAACGCTGAATCACATCCCGAGAAAAAGCTTGTAATTGCCTTCAAACAAATGTAACAATTAACTTTTTACAAAACGTGTTATGTCAATTCGATAGGTAGCATCATTAGACACATCATTTACGCTAATTACCGAAGCAAACTGGCATCGGGGTGTCTGATGTCGCCGAGTCAAAATACAACTGAAATGCAAATACCCTGGGCGGCTAGTGGACCGACCACTCCGTATTGTGCAAGCCTGGCCTGCTGGTGACAACGGACAATAAGTGGTGAGGAGGGCACAGTAAATTTGCCGGAGCGCTCGGCCTGAAACAATGGCTCACTATCTGCTCGCATCTACGGGCGGCGCAGGCAAACTAGTCTTCTGGCACGGCGTCAGAGGGGGAGCGGGGTGACGAAGACAAGACAGACGGACGCACGGACGGAAAGACGGATAGACAGACGGACTGACAAATACACGGACGGAAAGACGGGTAGACAGACGGGCTGACAAATGGCGGATGGACGGAAAGACGAACAAACGGTTAGATAGACGTGCAACTAGGCGTACAGACGGACAGACGGACGGACGGACGGACGGACCAGACGGGCGGGCCAACTGATGAATGAACAGACACACGGTCGGATAGACGGGTACACAGACGGACGGATAGGTGGCAAACGGACAGACCAAAGGATTGACAGTTAACCAGATACACACAATATTACTTTACTTATAGATACAAAAACAGATAGACGGACAAAAGGACTGACGTGACGGTAGACAGAACAACTGATTCAGTTCTTTCCAGCCCCATAAGCCGTTTTTACGAGCGGGGAAGTGATTCGGGGTTGGTTTCAAGCACAAATGAGGTGATCTGCGTGAAGATAATATCGGTAAAAATAGAACATCGGAACTTTCCTTAAACGTCTGCAAGGCCGGTTTTACTGTTTTATGGGTTCAGGGAAATCGAGGGCATGCCGTTCGTTTTGGTTACAAATGCATCTCATGTCAGTACTTCAGATGACATATTTCATGCTAAAATATGCGGGAAACTTGCCGATGAGAAGCCTCTTCGAGCCCATTTAAAACGCGTCACCTTTGTAAACGGACAGTGGTCGAGTTACAGCGGAAATGAGTTCGGTGAGCGGGTTACTCATTACCAATCAGTAAACACATGAACTGCTCGGGCCCAAATTATCTCTGTTACACTGAAACTATTATCGATCGGGAGGAGTGGCTACAAACAGTGCAACGGTGCTCGTACAACCAAGCTAATAAATTGAAATAAAGTTTGAGCACATCAAGTTGTTTACAAACCCAGACTAGGAAACACCGCGGGCCCCTGCAGCAGGCGATGTCCATGCTGTAAGCCGCACCCAGTACCTACCCGGTGCCATATCTGTGCCCTGGCCGCCGCGACTACGAACTGACGGGGCCGACCGTCCGTCAGCGGCCTTGCAGGGGACTGGGTCGGAATGTGTCAGCGGTGCACGCCGGACCGGCCCGTAAGCCGACTCGTGGAATCGCTCGTCGCGCCACGCCCATAACACGGCTCACCCCGAGCCATTATCGCTACTCTAACGGGAGACAACCCCGCAGTGGCAGGAAAATCCGCCGTGGCATTTGCATGAGTAGTCGGATGTGAGGGTTTCACCATGGCTTCACCAGCTCTTCAACAATGATGCCACTAGATTACTGAAAGGCAGCACATAACTGCTAAAAATTAACAGCATATTTTAACTGCATTCCGTATTCCGTACTAATTTGTTTCAGCAGGTAACTGCTTGCAGCTTGCCCTTTTATTGGAATCACGACATGCAGCGGAGGTCGTGAAACAATTGACTGGACCAAACCTCATGTGACCTTTTTATATTTGCGAACTTGAAATACGTACAAAAGGCCCTATTCCCTATCACTCGATCTGCATAACTGTTTGTCCTTTTAAATGGGTTCGCTCACTCAGCCAGGGAAGTCCGGTAAATTAACTGTCATCGGCCCTCCGGTTCAGCTGCTTCGTCACGGGATGGCATGGGACACCGATTACTGACGCCTGCCATTTTATTCACCGAGATTCACCGAGACAGCCCGGCCTAGCCCGGAAGTGAGTGAGAGCTCCTTTATTGCCTTACGATTCCTCCCAACTCATTTCGGCCGACACGACCGAACTCACCAGCGCCTACCAACACTACAGGTCGCCGAAGGTGGCGCCACCCATAGGCGATACGTATGAAGCTGACAGTAATTGCCTGAGAACGTGGTGGACCTCGATCACATCTGACAGCTACTCGGGAGTCACGACTGCTCGTGGTCCGGGGCACGTAGTGAAATAAAGAACAAATGGATATATGTATGGAGAGAATAGGTTATATAGGTATGCATCATAGGATTGACCAGGAACATGAGGTCAATTTAAATTAGGTTATCATACCAAATTTGGGCATAAGCAAATATAATGCAGCCCATTCCTTATTGGTCACATACACACATACCATGAATGATGATCATTACTCCAGCAAATACCATGCAAGCAATGTCAGGCCACACCACAAAACTGAATGTGGACATTGACTGGAATGACCAAATGTTTATTTTTAAGATGAGAGAAAATAATATGTCAGGCAGAACCCCTATTATACAAACAAAACAAATTGTGTTCTTAAACTTCCAAACTACTTTTTTTAAAGATAACAAAAGCCTGAGGTTGAGGTTTCAAATACTGAGGTTTCAATTATTTTGAAGCATATTCTTGAGGGCACATAGGCTCCTTATCTTAACCACCAGAGGGATAGGAATAAGTACATGAGTGAAAACAAAATAAGAAATTATCTGAAAGCGGTAAAAGCCATCCACAGTACATATGTAGATATGAAAGCTGGGGAGAGTTTGAGGGAGAGCAGGGGGAGTGGATGGGTCAGACACTTAGTCCCTCTCACTGGCTGATTTCAAATGGTAGCTGCTCTCACCAACTGCATAACATCCCTTTTAGAAATATCAAACATGTAGGTACTTTAGAACTTATATATAGCACAAGAGTGCTAGGAATCTGGGGTAGAAATTATCATCATAAGAGACTGTTCCTACTTCCTCTAGTCATCAATCTACCCCATTAATCAGCTCAGACATCAGATTTTGTGAGTGGTGCAGTCAAATGTGTGACAAATATTTAGATATAAGAACATAAGAACATTCTGAAGGTTTTTTCAACCCGAACTCTGAAGGCTTAAACATTACTTCAAGATATAATTAAACGTATCAACAATTGATTCCTATTTTAAATAAAAAGGATATTAGCTCAATGCATGTAGATACCAATATTTAGCATGTCAGTAACTGCTAAGTATACCTGAGATTCCTCATTGAGCTCAAGCTGTATACTTATTGATAAAGGTAGGTAACAGATACGCATTAGCAGCATATCACGGAACTACAGCAAACTGGTGGCTAAGCTGGCATGCTGCACAAAACTCAACACACTTGGCTATGACAGTTTGTGCATATTATCAAAACATGTCACGCACAAAAATTGGAGTGAACAGTGCACTTCAACTAGCACAGAGATCGACGCCTTTCACTTCTAGGTCAAGGTTCATGCCGGACGTCAAGCAGAACACCGACAGTCATTCAGCTTACATGAGACCTAATTAAGCGACCTAGTTTGCGGAAAACGAAAGGTAGAATCGTCAAACAGTCTCTGAAACTTATCGAAGATATTATCAGTCAAATACGAGCAATTTAATTAATAAATCACACATATTACCTTCTACCCCTTGTTCCTCCTCCACCGCCTTCCGCTGCGAACTGATGCTCAACTTTCAAGCCGCGCACACAGCTGCAACACAAGTTGCGACATAAATAGCGTGGCTGCGACAAAACATTGAGGGTCTCTGCTACTATTTTGTTACATGACCACTATTCGTGAGACTTACCTAATTCACTGGCAAATCCAAAAAGGCGGTCTTGGGACTTGGACGATACTTTGGGGAGGGGAGAGGAACAGGTGTGTCTATGTGTGCCATATGTGTGCCTTATATTGAAAAAAATGTTTGATCTCTCATCTCATATACAGAACGAGTCACGAGAGCAGCATATTGCCATCAATCCTACTACCTACTATTACTTTTATACCTCTAGGAATCACTATAATTTTAACATCTTGAAAACCCTCTGAGTTATTTAAGTGCCGCGGTCTGCAGAGCTCCAGCCGTGCAATTTCACTAAAACATTAAACTTCAAGCCCCTTTGAAGTTCCCGTTGGCCTATCCTCCCGTACGGATTATGGCGGTAGCCGGTAATCACGAATCTCTGAAGAGAGCAAACAGTTCAACCGTTCATGATGTCCATTCGTATTACTACGTCGAACCGTCGTTCACAACATCAATCCTAATTATCTTCTCCTGCATATATAGTTTAGCGGATAGCTCTGCACCTGTGCAATAACTTACAGGCAGTCCATTCGTTTTGTTTGAGCCGATCATTCCACTGCAGCACACCTTTATAAGAAAACTTACCATGGTGTGATATGCTTAAATTTATTTCCAAGATGCAACAACGTCGCATTGCAACAAATTTTATTAGCCACCATTGCTAAGCAAAATGGAATATGTGCCGGAACTGCCGGAGCACATATGAAGCTCATTAAATCAGCAGTTTAGGCAGTACCACACGTATATGTGCCTGCACATCTCTGCCGCTGCCACCATGCACCATACCAATGAAATCAGCCACCAGCGCCACAAAAAAGCGACAAACACGATTGCACGAATACACAAAGCTGCAGTAGTCGGGTCCTCCTCCGTCCAGTGGGCGGCGGTCTCTTCGTTCGGCCGAGCGGGGCGGGGCCACCGGAGGTCAGCGCACATGTCACTCCCAGGAGTAACCTCCGGTCACCAGAGGTCAGCGCAGAGGTCACTCCCAGTAGCCTCCGGTCACCAGAGGTCAGCGCAGAGGTCACTCCCAGTAACCTCCGGTCACCAGAGGTCAGCGCAGAGGTCACTCCCAGTAGCCTCCGGTCACCAGAGGTCAGCGCAGAGGTCACTCCCAGTAACCTCCGGTCACCAGAGGTCAGCGCAGAGGTCACTCCCAGTAGCCTCCGGCGCCCACCGCCACGTTGTCCGTGCCGTATCCCGGTAAGTACTCCAGCATCCAGAGAAAGTCGGTAAACATCACTAGGGGAAGAGACAGAGATCGTCGCTGGTCAGCCGCACTGGATTTTATCGGACATAACAAACGAACTGAGGTCTATACCTACCGGACCAGAGCATACTGAATAACCGGACGGCCAGGGCCCACCAGAATATGGGGACTACTGCACCCTAACAATCAGACTTAGGATGCAGTTAGCACTGCTGCGTTGGATGGTAACTTGGATATTGTCGTGCAATCCTATTCAAGCCAATGAGACCAGTTTCGCTTTGCGGGTACTAGGACTACACCGCTCATCGGCCTCAAACAATTCTAGCTAGAATTTGGATCAAAAGACCAGAATATTTTCTAAATTAATGTAAGATTAGCAAGAAAAAATAACCACAATTATTCAGCGGCACTGCATTTATGGTGCCACTAAGCTGGATATTTCGTAATTATTGGCATTCGTCATCGGTAAAAAGCTAAAAACACATGACGGCCCTCAGTGAATCACGCACATCAGCGACACCGGTACAAGTCAAAGGACGATCGACCTCTGTCTCGAATGTTCCGAACAGCTCACACATGACGCAAGCGGGGCCCGGGGTGCATGAAACGGGAAGCGTGATAAGAGACTCATGTCGAAACGGGCAACAGAATAGCATGACTAATATTAACAGCACAAGTTCACATGCAGCTGTAGGACAAAATAACTTCTGTTTATTTGGACCTTAGTTCAACTCTTTCCTAGACGTTAAAATCGCGGATCGATGTTTTTAGCTATTACAGGAACTTTGAATAATGCATGGCTACAAAACGCACTTTAGCACAGAACCACCATTTTCCATTCAAAAACATGAGACTACCGGCACTATTCTTCCATTACACACATTCCAATTCATCCTTCTCTACTTCAGACATCTCATCGGTACACCAATAGTTCTATTCGACTTCCCTGCAGGAGATCTCCCCGAGGTTTCTTATTCCCCACCCCTATCTCACAGAACTCGTCTCCCCCGACTTACAGATCTCGCCCTCGTGCAGTGTGTCCACAATCTCGGGACAGAGGCTGGCGCACGGAGAGCGCGGCGTCAGGCGCAGCCCTGTGGTGCCCTGCAGCTGCGCCATCCACACCATGTCGTTCACCACGGGAAGCTGTTCGAGACACGGGGAAACAGGGGTGAGCGAATGGCCAGACAAAGTACAGCAGAATGTAAATACAGCAGGACTCGGGAAACAGAGGTGAGCAAAAGGTTTATGTAAAAACAGCAGCATGAAAATACAGCAGCAGTGGAAGACACGGGAAACAATGGTGAAAGTACGAACAGATAAGAATATTCTCACGTCATTTGATCAGTAATCTGAAATGACACCCGTTTATAAATGCTACCTTTGCTGACGCAGCTAGTGTCCACACACCACCAGGCCGGCAGTACGCACCATTTTATAGACATTTCCCGTGTAGTTTGAGGAGACTAGCACCCAGTTGGAGTCGGTGGTATCCACCATGGCCGGCAGAAAATACGGCCGACGGTACAGCGTACGGAGCACCTTGGCAGCCATCTTGTCACAGTTCTCCCTGGAAAAAAAAAATCATGGCAAACAGAGCACCGGTTAGAAGAGACGTCCGTCATACCTCCCGTGCCAGTTCACAACTTTGTGATGATTGCCATGGAAACAATACCGAGAGAAATAAATGCTGAATTCTGGTAAAAGTTGAGCCTTGTTAACAATATGGCATGGTAAAAGAGTGTTCCTAGGTGTACCGAGCGAGTCAAAAGTCACGGTTTCGCAATAACAGAGCAGCAAAATTATAGAGCCAAGTACAACCGTGAGTCATTTGGATAGAACACAGCAATCACATTTCTTTGAAGACATTGAGCATCAGTCGCCTCGCTCACTCACCAGTGGGCGAACCACTTCTTGATGACGGGGTTGCTCATTTTGTCCAGCAGCAGCTGCATGTCGTCGCGCGCCTTCAGATTGGTGAGCAGCTCACAGGGCCGACTCTCGGCCAGTCCTCTGTCTTTGAACATCTGCGGACAGGGGGACATGCAGCGGTCAACGTATATCCGAACGGAACGAGGGACACTTTAATGGTGTGATAGTTGAACAGGCACTTTACAAATGAAATGAGCATTTGTACGAGCTATAAGTGGAAGCTGGTGCATTGTCCGCACTTAGCACCATGTAAACACACAATGGGCCGCTGTTTTTAGTTTTTGTTTTTACTTAGTCGGACAATCAATGATCGACTGACTGCATTTGTACAATTCTTCCTCACAAGTCACGAGCACCATGAATCTATGTATTCTTAACTACAAGATAAACAGAAAAGTTGTTGTATTTACAAACCCCCAAAACATTCATAACTTTCGCAGATTGACGACGTATGACTTACGAAATCAAAACTTATCAGAGATGAAAATTAATCAATATCCACCTACCTGATATAAATAAGCAATTAGCGGCTCCGCTGATCCGCGATATTCTGCCATCATAACGAGCCCCTACCGCCCACCTTGACTAGCCGGTGTCGGTCGAACACGCCGTCCTCGAGGGCCGGCCAGTCGCGTGTTCCGTCCGTCACCACCACGGGCCGGTCCAGGCGCAGGTAGTTGTCCGTGACGACAGCGGCGCTGACGTTCGACACGCGCTCCAGCTCGTCCAGAGACTCGCATAACTTAGGGAGAGACGGGAGGGGAGCGGTCAGACAGGAGGCGGACCGGACAGAGACTGCAGGCTCAGGCTAGAGAGATACAAAAACAGCGAGGGTGGGGAGACGAGTAAAGCGAAGAGAGGAAACGGAGAAACACAGCGACAGCAAGAGAAAGATGTATAAATAAAATTATAAATGGGTATTTAGGTTGAGTACCTTACGAGGTTATGGTTCAGCAGCAATTCCAATCGAGTAATAACTCCCGAATAAACTACAACTATCGCCTAGAGAAATAATCACTGAAAAAAATGAATCGACGGTTTATTTGGGGAATATTCGGCAAGCATTACTCCCTACTGTCGGGGAAACAGCACCAACGCTTCGAACCTATCGTTTCAGTACAGATTCATTTGCGCTAAGCCCGGAGCGACTTCGATGAACAATTAAGGCACACAGCAGCTTTACGGCATTGACACTAATTTCTGAGTCTGTGTGAAGGATCAATATCGTTAGGGAAGTGTTCACACGGGTTGCCTTGACGTGCTAGAAAAGGATATATTTACGGAATGTAGACCTACGTTTTGACGGCGATCGTTACAGCGACTCTGGCTTGAATAGACCAAATCCAGAAAATAAATGATTTTTTTTTTGTAAAAAAGATTCAACGCAATCGATGTTTTCTACTTAATCTGTATTTCGAATCTGGCATTCGATAGTACAGCCGATGGTTGCGGTGTAGCGATAGCAAAACGAAGCCATCCAGCCGGTCACGGCGGCCGGCGAATCGATTCCAAACCGGAGGAATCGCTGACCCCGCCTCCCATCCAGGCAATGCCAGTAGCGGTCGGGACCGCAGTAAACGCCATCGATCTGTACGACGCCCAAAGCTCACCCCTATCCCGGCCCCGGGCCACGGTGATGCCAGCCCACGACTGGGGACGGGGACGGGGGAGGGGAGGGCAGCCGGGGTCTGCGGCTGAGTCTGGGAGATAACGCCCCCGCCCCTCCCTGCCACACGGGACAGAGTGACGGACGGAGGGCGTTGGAGCAGTGTGGTCGGCACCAGAGTAGACTGCCGGTGGTGCTAGTCAACGAATCGGGTAGAGTCGTGAAAACAAGATCGGAAATAGCCACAAAGTCTAACATATTGCTATATTTATCGCAAAAATAAGTGTGAATATCTAAGGCTGACCTTGTTATCAGTGAAAAGCTACACAAAAAGGAACGTAGAAACGTACAAAAGACGTTACATTTGATATGGTGCGATTACTAAGTAGGGGTGCGGTATTGTTCAATAAAACGGGAACTGGTGATATGTACCGCAGGCTGGTGAACGTGTTAACCAAAGCCCTATTTCAATCTTCCAGCACAGTTGTGCGATGCGACCACCAGGCCACCTATCTGGTCCTGTCCGGCTGCGGGAGCCTCGTCGACCGTACAGCTCGCGATCCGGGCGGTATTTGGGCCGGGCGAGGCTCATTGGAAATCGGACCGGTCCACTATCTCTAATACGCTGCCATTCCGACCGTGCAGTCCACCCGAATTATGCAGTCACGCTGCGACCAGCCGGGTGTATTCATGGATTCAGGCTCAGCACCCCTGGGCAGACGTTCCCTTCCTGCACCCCACGGAGGCCGGCAGGGGTCACGGACCCGTCACCGGCACTGCCAAAAGCGACTATCAGCAGTGCGCGTTTGAATTGGAAATGATGCTTGCATAACAGTGAGTTGGTGACATTGCAAGGATGACTGGCACAATGAGTACATTCCCGAAATTACTTTTGATAATCTCATGTTATTAATGTCGCCATGAGCATTGAGCAGTGAGTTCATTATCGAGTGCACCATCATTACTAGGAAACGGCATGTGACTGAATGACTTCTACAGCAAATATGTAGAAGTCATATGTAGAAATATATTTGTAGAGCAAATATAAGATCATCCGCCGCGGAATGGTGATTTCGAGACGCCTTCCGATCTCCAGACATCGCCCAGTAGCGGCGGCACCTCACCTGACAGGAGTCCTCGGTTCTGACCGGGCGGTCCGTCTCCTCGTACAGGGGATTCTCCACCAGACACGTCATAGTGTACAGGCCGGTCCAGTCCCAGTACGGCAGAATCTGACAGACACAAAACTGGTATTCACACACAGGCCAATTATCAAGTTGCTGCATACAGTCAGACTAAGCATGATTGAATATGAAGAGTCAACAGTAACACCCAAAGTCGCAGCATGTAATCCAAGGGATAGTAAGACGGTGATACCTAGCATGCATTTTGAATCATATAAGCAGTCGATTCATATTTTATGCCCAGAGCAGGATTGTCAAAAGCGAGCTGAAGAAGTAAAGTCCCCTTCCGACCAGCGTGGGTATGCTAAAAAGAGGAAGTCCATGCATCGACAACCCCAGATTCCGGGACTGGCCCCTCCTGTGAGGGGCCTGTTGGCCGGCCGGGCGTGCGGAGCGCCGACCTACGGGTCGACACTTCGCTCGCCCGGTCGGTGGTTAGGGGCACCGCCCCGGGTTGCTTTCCGGGCGGAGCGGGCGGGGATTGGCGGCCCGCCTGGAGCGCCGGGGAGGTAGCCATCAGATCTCCTCGGCTGGGGAGGTATCCCACAGCTCTCCCCGGGGCCGGGACGGCATATGTCACGGATTGACACCGTCCCGGCCTGGCCAGGCGGGTCGCCGATGGGAGTACAACAATGTTTTAAGTTTATTTTTGTTTGTGTTTTCTGTGAATTGTGTTAATAAAACTGCATTAAAAAAAGACAACCCCAGATTAATGTTACAGTCCAAAACAGCATCATGAGCGACCGTCACCTACCTTGACCAGTGCGACGCGCGTGTAGAAGTGTGCCGCCTGCTGCACGGGTTTGGCGGAGCCGATCAGGTACAGCGCGGCACAGAGCACCAGCAGTACGCCAACCACGCGCCCCACGTACCTACCGGCACGCGGCGGCGGCGTCATGGGGGTGTTCTCACAAGCGGCTCATCGCACCTCGACCGTCGGCACAGATTGATGCTGTTGATCATCCTGGACGAGTACTGAGCAAAACAGCTGTAAACTGGACTGATGTCGCTAGTCTTTGAAGTCAAACATTTAGAGCTTCAACTTAGTCATCACAAGATATATCAAATGGATGTAGACAGAAGAACAAAGACATTCACATAAAACACTATCTATCAAAAAGTTAAAATCGTATTAGAAGCATAAACCCTCAACACCTCGTGCCGATTAGGTCTTACGTTTTACCATAGTGTAAGAAATAGCACTATGGCCTTACCGAGCCCTGTTGATGCCCGTGGACCAGTCGACGGCCGAGACGAGCGGCCTCAGCGCGCGGCTCACTTGGTCGTGCGGCAGCTCCGAGCGGCGGCACAGCTCGTGCAGCGCCGTCAGCTCGCGCTCCAGCGCCGCCAGCCGCTCGGCCTCCGGCAGACGGGCCTCATCAGCCGACATTGCTACCCTCCTGGCAGAACCTGCAGCAGGAACATGCGAGAGAAGATAGCAGATGAATAAAACTTCTAGAAAAAAAGAGCTGAAACCGTGATGAAAAAAGATAAAACGTTGCAAAATGCTTTAAACTGGGAGATTATTATAGGTCATTGGTGTAAATAGGGAAAATGATGGTTAAGATAGGTAACTGTTGCTGAGTTACACTTGCATATAAAATAGGAAACCATGTGCATAGAAATTAAAAAAATATGTTTGCTAATGCTCAGTTATAATGATGACATAGGGTGGAGAAGGCAAGGTGCATTGCAGTTTCCACCAAGCATTAATTGATTGAAGTTGAGATACCCTCATCAAATTTCCTCCATCCCTTTAATCAAAGTAGAAAACTGTCCCTGTTTGTTTGACTGTTTGACTGATTGAATTTGATATACCTACCAAGATCAAAACTCTTGTATCCCTATAATCAAATTAGAGAACTGTCCCTTTGTGCACTTAAACTTAGCCTGACTGGTCTCTTAACCCTCGCCCGTATTGGTGTTTTTCCAGCCGCGAACGTATAAGGGGGGGGGGGGTCCGTTGGACCCCCCCCCCCTTGCCGTTTCGCCCCTGATCGAGCTAGAGCTTCGCGGAAAAAACGAGCGTGTTGCCCGTGACGAGAGGAAGCCGATGATACCTAATTTTAAGGTCCTAGGTCATTGGTTGACCTTGCAGGTCAGGTCAATGACCCAAAAGTCGGAAAATCGGGACCTGTTAGAACGTCGTAAAGTGTGGCTGCTATGGGGTTTTTCGGGGCGCTGATCACGAATATCATGTTAGTTTTGATCACAGATGATGTCTTCATGCATTTAGTCCAGGTCGGGTCAGGTCAGGTCAGGTCAACCAGTAGGGGTCCTGCCGGGTATTCCTAGTAGGTGTCAACCGCCTCTGACAGCTTCGTAACATGTTACGAAGGCACCAAAACTACTTCGTAAATGTTCATATGGTTCCTAAATTCGAATTCAGCTCCAAAAACTGGCCTAGAAACATGTAAAACTCGAAAAAGTGAACCGAGGTCACCAAAGGTCAATGACCTGACCTGACCTTCAGGTGACCTTGACACCCACCCTAATGCATGGGGGCAACATCATATCACATGTTTGAACGCTTGAAACCACGAAAAGACTGCAAACGCGCGGCCAATGCGAGCCGACATACGCCGAATCGCGATTCCGGCCAAACATGGTCTCGAAAAGTAGGTCACAGGTCAAAGGTCATTAGGGTCAGGGTCATGAAATTTTCAGGGTAGGTGTAAAATTGATTAACGCGAGGGTACTGAAAGTTTCGTCGCGATCGGCCGCTTTTTACGCGAGTTATTCGCGAAAAACCATGGGGGGGGTCCGTTCGACCCCCCCCCCCCCTATACGGGCGAGGGTTAATCTTCACATTTGTCATGAAAAACATGTTAAAACATTGGTAACAATTTAATTCTTGGTTCTTTCTAATGGAAATAGTCCAAATAAAGTAGGTCACCATGCTGCTTCAGCCTTCACACATGCAAAGCAAATGCCTCTTCACATCATGATCAGTTAGTCCAGCCTACACCAGTGGGCAGTGTACCATCAAAGGTATGCTGTAGATGCCCTACAACCTGCAGTCTACATCTCTGCTGCACAACATGAAAACAGACAATGCAGCAGACATAGGCAGCTCAACACTGCAGATCTGATCAATCCACCTTATCTGTAAAGAGTTCAAGTTGTTTAGGGCAAGAAATATAAAGAAACAAATGGTGCATTGCAAAATTTGCTAGTCATAAAATCATGCATTTAATCAACTTTTAATCTAAGTTACAAGGCTACTGCCTACTGGCAACACCAAACACATCCCCTAAACCCAGACTGCAAGACAAAACATTGTAATTCTGATGAGATTTTGTAGAAATTATTGTTGTTTCAGGTGCACACAGCCTGTGCATAGTTCAAATTTACCATGGTAGGTATGATATATATTAAATATATTTAGGGTGGAGGTTGTGCTGTATGCAGTCTCTAATGTGGTAGATACCATACTGAACTGCTCTACTGGCACATTATTGTCCAATAAAGTGAGATATAGAGGACACAATGGTCTGCCAATGAGCAATGGCAATGAGCATTGTATTTCCATGCTATTTATTTGGTTGTTTTCCATGCTATTTAGCATGGAGAAGTAGATTCTGACAAAAGGAAATGTGCCTTTTGGTAGGTAAAGGTGTAGACTATCACCTACAAATGAATGTTTGTGTGTCATTTCTATAATCCAACTTTGTGTCTCCAGTCCTCTCTCAGTTCAATTTGGAGGAATTATGAACTTGTGAGCTCTGAGCTGTGAGTTGTGGCAGTAGCATTCTTGTTCAACGTGCTTTTAATCCAGTTTCTTCCTGTTTTTTCTTCAATTTTTAACATCGTTTAACATATGTAAGCATGTGAATGTGTGGAAATAGTAAGAAGGTTAAAATTTGGCACAAATTTGGGTAGTATTCAAGCAGGCATCACACTTCTTTTTGCAACCAAGGTGAGGTGCTGTATGTAGGTTTTAGGTTTTAGGTGGTAGGTTTAACTAGGTTGTAGCCTGTAGGTAGCTGCATGGAGCAGCAGCAGCTACAGGTTGTAGCCTGTAGGTAAGGTTAGGTCAGGCTTGGTTAGGCTTAGATCGACTTTATTAACCCGCGCACCGACGGGGGGGCGGATATCCGCCCCCCCCCCCCTGAGGTTTTTCGCGAATAGCGGGAAAACCGCGGCGCGTAGCGCCGCGAAATTTGGTATGACTATAACCTCATCAATTTTACACATGGTGTGCAAGTTTGAACCTCCTACCTTTTAAGGTCAGGTCACCAGGTCACTTTGAATGACCCAACCTCAAGTCACTTTTTTGCAACTTTGTCACCGTGCCAGAGCTACAGTAGATGTCGGAGGCCTTTGAAAGTCGCAGGATATTATTAGGTCATTAGTAGCTACAATTTGTATATCTCGGAATTTTGATATCGGTGACCTAAGGTCAGGTCAATTTCGCGACCTCCCCATTATAAGTCAATGGGGGAAAAATCAACTCCCTGTTTTTACCACTAAAACGGGTCGGAATGGCCCCATATACCATACATTACTTCATATACGATCAACCTTCACTACCTTGAGGTCTGTTTTGCTGTTGGGCAGCTGTGAGGTCATGTGAGGTCATCAAAGGTCACCAAAGGTTTTTGGCCAATAACTCCGTACGGCGTACAGGAACAAGATACAGACGCGTGGATGATCTCATTGTGTTCAGCTCATCAAGACGCATCGAATGATATACATGATGACCTCGAGGTCACGTGACCTGAGGTCAACCTTTGACCTTGACCTTTCGAGGTCAACATATATATCATTCGATGCGGATTGACGAGAGGATCACGATGATGCCCTTAGTTTGTTCATATCTTGACTAATTCGAAATTTATTCGAGAAAAACTCTCCATATCTAGCGCCGCCATTTTGACTTTTTCGACCCCTGTGACGTCATCTTTGACCTGACCTGAAAATGACCTTAGTAAAAATTGTAGATCTTGACCGTGCGTATCCGATGCCGTTTACCGCTTGTCGCTATCTTGCTTCGTTCTCGAGATCTCAGGGGGGGCGGTCATCCGCCCCCCCCCCGTCGGTGCGAAGTTGGCGCAGACCCCCGTCGGTGCGCGGGTTAAAACAGTAGCAGCGGAACACCTTCGATCAAGGGGGGGGCACTGCCGACTTTTGGTCCCATCCTTTCCATGCAATGCCCATAGGGCTAATGTTAAAATGCCAAAATCAAAGGGGGTACGGTGCCCTCCCCATTCGGCGTTCCGCCGCCTAGGATTAGAAAGCATCTCAACTCTGGGTATAGCACCTCTCTTTGGTAGCAAAAAGCAAGTATGACGCTTGCTTCATGACCAGCTACCCAAATTAGCTACAACTTGTGAGCTAATTGAGCAAAAAATAATGGCACAAAATTGCATGCACTGAATTTCAGCGGATGAGCCCCTGGGGCGTCCAGCGCTCAGACCTCCCATTTTGAAAATTTCAGAAATGGAAAATAATTGATTTCACAGCCTTAAGTAGACAAATATCTCATAAGTCAAACTACAAAATAATTACCTACCTTAGTTATATATATTTACTATTTATTATACCTGAGTTATTTTTATACCTGAGTTATTTATTATACCTATTTATATTATAAATATAAATAGTAAATATATTTACTATTTATATTTATTATACCTGAGTTATATTAAGGATAACTCACAAGCTTCAAATTTCTTCTCCTCGACAATTGCGATGGGTTGAGACGGTCATTGGCGCGGATTTAAGCTCGTTATTCAATAATGAAGACGAAGATCATTGGCTGCAATTTTTTTATAAAATAAATATTTGAAGTATTTTCTCCCAGGGGCCGCAGCATGAACCCTCGTAAGTAAGAACCTAGAATAATCTATTTGCTTGAAATATGGTCATTTTGTGCAATTTTGTCGAACATTTGCCCGACCAAGGGATGCACAATTTTCTTGCGAACAAGAACGTGACGTTATTCCCCTAGATCGTCGCATACCGGAGGTTATTGATAAACGTCGAGCGATTGAACTTGACGATGCCCCATTTTCAAGATTTTTAACGTAAATGCAGAAGCAGTTTTGTACTAGGTCCGGTGCTGCAATTCAAAACATCATATGAAAAGCAGATAAAACAAGCACCGAAAATAATGGAAGAACAGGTCTGTGCTAGCTGTCCCAGTCGCAGCACTCAAAGGACCACCATTACTTGCGGCTCCTGTAAACGCCGCTGGCATGCGCTCTGTGTAAGGGTGCCGGCCAAGAAAGCACGTGAGCTTCAAGCCGAGGGGGGCGTTTGGCACTGTCGGGACTGTTTAGGTTACGGATTCCACACACAACCGAGCTCCTCGCCAGCCAGTCCAGCAGCAGGCAATTTCCCAGAGGCCCTTGCCAAGATGAGAAGAAAGGGGCGCATTGTGTCCCGGTTGCCCAAGGCTATTCGACCACTGGTTGCGGATGCCCTGGCTGAGGCGATGGACGGAGCCCTACAGTCCGACTCGGCTGACCGGTGGTGGGAACTGTTGACCTTTGCACACTGCAAGCTGCAAGCCCCGGCCCCCGGCAGTAAATGCACAGCGGCGTCCAGTATCCGGCGTCAGATCTCCGGCGAGACGCCGGCGACTGCGACGGACAAAGCAACCGACACTACCAACCACCGGGGACGGATGCCACGAGCACGCTCTGCAACTGAAGCCACCAGAGATGACGCGCTGGCCCGCCGAATTGCAGGCAAGCTGGCAGATGGCGACATCAGGGCAGCGCTACAAACACTGACCACTGACGAAAAGTTGGCGACAGCTAATGACGAAATAGTGACCTCACTGCGTGCGAAACACCCACCGGCCCCCGACGACCAACTACTACCACCACCACCTTCAAACACTGACCCTGCCCCGATCATCGTCTCCGAAGCCGACGTTGAGGCGGCCATCACCAGCATGCGGCCAGGATCAACAGCCGGTCTAGACGGCATTCGTGCCCTACATTTGCAGCAGTTGATCTCGAAGGAGGCCGCTGAGAGCGGACGCCGTCTCATTCGCTGTCTTGTCCGTCTCACCAACCTACTCCTACAAGGGGCAGTACCGGATTGTGCACGGCGAGCGCTGTTCGGCGCGTCTCTATGCGCGATTCGGAAGAGTGATGGCGGTCTGCGGCCGATCGCGGTGGGAAGCATCTACCGCCGCCTTGCCGGCCGTATCGCCGCACGTCAAGTCGCTGCTGCAGTGGGAGAGGAGCTACGTCCCGTGCAGCTGGGAGTCGGCACACCGCAGGGCTGCGAGGCCGCCGTACACGCCACGCGAGAGTTTCTGGCGGCAGCTGCAGAAGCCCACGCCCCATACTTGCTGGTCAAGGTGGACGTCCGAAACGCCTTCAACACCGTGAGACGCGACACCTTTTTGGAGCAAGTGAAGACGCGTGTGCCCATGGCGTATCCTCTCCTGTGGTGCGCATACAGCGAGCCCACACCTCTCTGCATCGGTGATCAGACCATTTCCTCGTGCAGCGGTGTGCAGCAGGGTGACCCACTCGGCCCGGCGGCTTTCGCGCTGGCTCTAGACCCGATCATCAGAAGAATGCAGTCACCACTAAATGTGTGGTACCTCGACGATGGGACCATCGGAGGTCCGGCTGACCTAGTCGCCGCCGACTTAGCAGTCCTGGCGACAGCCCTGCCTACAATCGGTCTGCAACTGAACGCCAACAAGTGCGAGGTCGCATTTGCCGGTCCAACGCCGCCACCATCACTTTTGGAGTCGCTACGAGGTACCCTCCCAGGACTGAAGGAGACTCTAGCAAGCGATCTCTCCCTCCTAGGATCTCCCTTGACCGACGCTGCGCTGCCTGTCGCCACCACCAGGGCTGCGGCCGTCATAGACCGGATGTGTGCCCGGATCAGCAACCTTGACGCTCACTCCGGTCTATTCCTTTTGGCACACTACACGGCAGCCCCCCGGCTAACCTACCTTCTGCGGTCGGCGCCGCTGTATCGTGAGCCGGGGCCGCTGCTGAATGTCGACAAGACAGTGCGGGAGACCCTCGCCACCGTCACCAACGTCACCATCAATGATGAAGCGTGGGAGCAGGCTTCCCTACCACTGCGTTTTGGAGGACTTGGAGTCCGGTCGGTGATGGCATTGGCCCTGCCGTGTCACATGGCATCCCTCCACGCTTGTCTGCCACTGACGCAAGAGATTCTCCATGCCACCGAGCCTCGCCAGCCGACCCAAGCACTCCAGCGTGCCAGGGCCGATATTGTCGCCAAGCTCGGTGAAGCCGCTCGTCAGGTGCCCCAGTCAGAAGAGTGCAAACAGCGTGCTTGGGATGAGACGTTCTGTAAGATGTCTCAGAAGCGCCTGCTGGACGGGGCAAACCAGGTGGCCCGGGCGCGTCTTCTGGCTGCTGCAGAGCCCCACACTGCCGCTTGGGTGCAAGCACTCCCCGTCACCAGTGTGGGACTCCATCTGGATGATGAAACTGTGCGGGTAGCAGTGGCGCTGCGACTCGGGGCGTCGGTATGTGAACCGCATAACTGTCAGCTCTGCCATCGCCCCGTTGACCGACTGGGCCACCACGGTCTCTCCTGTACCAAGAGTGCTGGCCGCCACGCGCGTCACGCTAACCTCAATGACGTGCTGCGGCGGGCACTCAGCAGTACAGGGCTCGAGAGTGTTTTGGAGCCCACCGGCCTCGACAGAGGTGACGGTCGACGTCCTGACGGGATAACGCTCTTCCCTTTCAGCCGAGGAATGAGCCTTATATGGGACGCCACCTGCTGTGACACCTTCTCAGCAACTGCCGTCATCAGCTCTGCCTTAAATCCCGGCAGCGCCGCCCGCTGTGCAGAAGAACGCAAGCGCGCCCGCTATGCCGCTCTCCGTGAGAGATATGTGTTCATTCCTTTTGCGGTTGAGACTTCTGGTGTCCTGGGTCCGGCGGCCACAGGTCTCATGAAGGAGCTTGGCCGTCGGCTGACGTGCCGCACCGGGGACAAACGAGAAACAGTCTGGCTGGCACAAAGGGTTTCAATCGCTGTGGCAAGGGGCAACGCTGCCTCCGTGCTGGCCACAGCTAAACCAGCAGCGGCCAACAGAACGGGACCGTCACCGACGCCATCGTCCAGGCTGACCCCGAGCATGAGCATTCCGTCAATCGAGGCACCGGATGACGAGTCTGCTGCGGGGCCGCCGCTGGACTCAGTGGCTGACCCACCGGACCACCCACCACCACTGACCCCTGCGGACGGCTGTCGAGAGGAGCTGCGCATGACACGCTCGCGGTCCTCTTCCCTGTGCTGTCCCGGAGCGTGCGCGTGTCCGACTCTCAACAGCAGGTCCAGGATTTGAGCGGACCGTGGCCTGCTCAATGCTCATGTAAAGTGTGAATTTTGTATGCGTTCTGCTCTACACGTAGGCAGTTGATCGCTTTAAGTTTAACATGAAGTTTATTTTGAAAAAATAAAAAATTGAAAAATTAAAAAAAAAAAAAAAAAAAAAAAAAAAAAAAAAAAAAAAATTACCTACCTATGAAAAATGCCTGGCCTATCTGTAAGAATCTTGATGGGGCCTTGCCGCTCGGCATATTTACGTCTGGACAACGAGTTGCGGGGAAAAGTGCTGATTTTGTCGCAGTTTTAGGAGCCGGTGATTCGGCTGGATTTTTAGGTTACTTTTTCGTTCCGATTCCTGTATTTCATAGTGTTTAGCTTTTAAATATTTTAGTTCTCTCAGAAAAATATTACTTGCCTTATAGATTTGGTTAAATTGTTTCATTTTTATAAGCCAAACGCTAGAGTCATAAAACAATACATCAGCACTACAATTATTGTAAACAAACAAATGGAGCACCGCTTGGCTCTGTTCCAAGGCCTTTTTCAAGTTCATCTGGTGTTTTCGTACTCGTGTACGTCGTTTTGTTGGAAGTTTCGGATCCCTTGTGATTGAATTATATCATATTAAAGAAACATGTTGACTGAAAACAATTCCAAGTATCCAGGAGGCTAAGGCTCCAGAATCCTGACTCCTGAGCCCTGAGCAATATTGATATCAAGTTGAATTTAGGAAATGTTTGGTTGATAAACGCAAGTTGGTCTGGCTCACTTATCAGCAAGAAAAAGTAAAATTAAAAGAGCTTATTGGACAAAAACAAGCTATACTATTGCAGGAGATCATGAAGAGCACGCTGAGCAATACCAAGCCAGAAAATGCTGGCTGATGAACGCATATTGATGTATTGGTGTGAATATTGAATTATAACTTACAACAGCAAGATTAATTTGTGCTAACTATCAAGTGAAAAAATTTAGAATGAATGAACTCGGGCAGCTTTACTTTGCAGAATGGTAATGTCGTAATGTGCATTACTCAGTGTCTGGCAAATGAAACACACAATCATTCCATTGCTACTGGAGGAGACAGCTTGCCGCTTGGATCACTAAATCAGCTTAATGTTTAATGTGATGTTCATCATTACTTTGCATTTTTTGAAAAAAGGATTTTAGAAGAATTGTCAATGTGACAAATACAATCCATGCAACGATGTGATCATATGATGTGTTCATACTTCATAGTCATGAGTGATTATGGTTCCAATATACAATAGCAAAGCTGTCAGCATTTCTTTCTGTGGATGGCCAGAAATGACTCAGAACATAGAAGTATTAATTTTCTTCACAGGACTGGGATAAAAAGTACTGAGGGTAATCTTCCAGCAAGGAACTTCCAGCAGTTTATTTTGACTTGGTATGAGATGTAGGCACAAGTAGGTAGGTACTTAGTCATATAGCTAGTAGTTGTGGTTAGTTGGGTGCTCTTATACATGTATTAGGTTGTAGTTTTTAAATTGCCTAGTGTCCATAAAAATGTGACCTGAGGGCTGAGCATACCTGACTAACCTGACCTAACCTCAATCATCATTCATCACACATATTTGCAACCTACCCAAGACCTGCATAGCAGTAGCACTCAGTTATAGGTAGGTACTTACTCACCCTAGCTCCATCTCACCTGCTAACCTTCAACTTGCCAACAGTTAGCTCACCTTGCCAAGCCGTATCCAACTATCCAGGGAAACAGTCAAATGAGGAACTGGCTCATTGGGTGGCTGGTGAGAGTCTGTGCGTTTAAAGTGTCTCTTCTCTGAAGCTGGTCAGCACTACAGTGTATGCCATGTTAGATGCTCAGAAAAATGTGGGAAATGATAACTAGGCTACTTTAGTGCTTTAGTTCATGCTCAAGACATCAACAAGTACAAATCCTGTGGGGTAAAGCTATGAGCTGGATGAGTAATGAGTATGCCAGGTGAGTGTGCTGTTGGACTGTAGTAAATATACAAACAAACACAGGGTCACAGTTATATTCAATCTCCACAAAAACATACAACAAAAACGCCCATAACCTCACTCCGAGCACACAACAAATAGCTAAGCCTTGCAGTCACAAAAACGCTTTGATTTACAAGATAGGTATACAATATATCCTCTGTCCTTGGGGATCTTCCTGCCAAGTTGAAGTAAGATGACTGAACTTCAGGATTGATCAACCTTTTCTTCTTAGCCACAGCTTATATATGAGAAAGACTGAATGCTTGGTTGATTAACTGCCTTGAAAATTTTATGATCCATCTTCAATTCTGACATGAAGGCACAAAGAAAATAGTTCCCTCTCCTCTTGGAATACACAAAACAAAATATGTAATATTTAATAACAGTCGGTGACACACCAGGGAAATAAGCTAAAATTAGAGCGCTCTATTTATTGCTCCCGCTACTTCACCGTCTCCCATAGGGTCCTGTGTTGAGCTGGTGTCGAGGCTCTAAAAATGACGCCGATTTTTGCACCCTTCTCACGAAATCCGCTCGGACCGCCTGGAAACTAATTGTTCCGCTCTAAAAATTTCATGATCGACGGGAAAATGAATGAGGAAAAGATTGGTCCTGAAATAATTCTGAACTCCCTGTAGAACATATCGAAATATGGCTGCAAACTAGGAGCATGTCAAAATCGACAAAACAATACAAATAAACTTACCGGGATTTTTTTATTTTCCATGCATCTGTGTATGAAATCAGTCGGTTTTTCGGAAAGATCATCTTCTGTTTAATAAATAATTCCACAATTGCAATCGAGAAAAAAAAACATTTCTGCTATGACAGCAGTTTTGGCATTGTGCCAGTAGTGTGGCGTGCGCGGTGCTGCGTGGTCGTCGGGACGGAGTTGTGAGTATTTTCGGTGTTTTAAATGGTTGATGGCCATTTGAACCAGCTTTATATTATTTCCTACAAATTTTTGCATCAAATTATTGCTTTGAAAGACCATTGAAACCCCTTATCTCTTCATGAAACACGATCATATTCATCGTCGACGAAAATGGCGCGGGACTCCATGTGCGTTCCGATCGAAATAAATCGTAAATTAAATAATATTCGATGATAAGTATCATATTCTAGTGACACATTTTCATAAAATAAGGCATAAACTTTGCAAGGAAGTCAACATTGGATAATTGGATTCTTATTTTGCTCACATATCCTTGTGTAGTCAAATGGCTCAATTGTTAGATAAATGTAAGCATATGTTTTGGCTTGATGTTTGCTGTGAAACCACCCAGCCACTTGCTGGTTGAGTGGCTTTTGATAATTACCTGATAATCATTTCTCCTTTTCCTTAAAAGAAACTAAAATTCTTTTCAAAGTAATCCATTTTTAGGAAAGGCGGCTTGCTCATTGACATTTCATGTTCTTGTTTTGTTATTGCTGGCAGTATTTTGATACAATAATGCAATATGAATTTTTTGCAATAATAAAACCTAAGACAAACTTAATAAATGCGTCAATCAAACACCCAACAGAAAGATTGTGAGTCCTTGTGACGTGAAGTAGAATTTTCTATGAATGTGTTATATAGAATATGCCAAATTTTAAATTAATTTATTATTTGATACTGATAGCTGAGCATGTGAATTATGCCACAATATAATTTCATTTTCTGGTTTTGAAATAGCCGGCAGTATTTTACTTCAACAAATGTAAAATACATGGAATACATGTTGTTATGTTATGTTAAAAGTTTAATAACAGCAAACAGAAGGGGCTGTTTCAGCAGATAATGTTTGTACCTTATGCATTTCCTTTCTTTTCTGCAGGACCATGCTTCCGCTGGGTGGTCGACATTTGCCTCCTGAAGAAGTTGAGCAACATGAAGACCACCAGATGAGGTGTCTGCAGTTCATGTGGAACTCTGCAGACTACATGTGTTATGCCAACCACAACCAAAGTGCTGTGATCATGGAGGCATGAACCTCATGACAACACTTCAGATTTGCAGTTGTACCAAAGTGTGATTCAAACCACCTGTGGCATCTCACTCAATGTGTGAACAGTGTGATCATTGTACAATGTTCAGCTGCAACTAAGACATTTATTAGTGACTTGTTTTGCAATTAGCCACCAAAAGCATTTTTGGGGCTGGCTGCTGTAATTTGTTGTGCACTGCGCAATAGTGGTAGTGTTTTGTCACTTGTCAAGTTGTCAGTTGTGCATGTTGCATGTTTCTCAGTCTTCCCTCGGCCCTCATTATCAGTTAAGTGGTGAATTGGCATCACTCAGTCTCCCCAGATCTCCATTGACTGTCTGTCAACCACCTAACTTGAGATGGTATTTGCTAATAGTGTCAGAAAAGAAGTGATTGTAGACATTTTTAGGAATATGAGCTCCGTTTCATGCGTGTTGCAGTGGTCATTTTGTCACTTGTCCCATAGTGTAATAAATGGAAACTGTTGTTCCCTTTTCAAGGTACTCGCGGATGCAGAAAGCGTTGGGCCTAATTATTAAACGCACCCTTCTATCAGCGACGCACGAAATCGACAAATATCATCCTTTTTAGAGCAGGAGGAAACGAAAACTTGTGAACATAGCTGTACCTACAACAGTGCATAAGGAATTGAAATTCTGGCAGTTTTTGAAATTCGGAGAAACTCAAGTTGTCGACAGGTATGCCCCCTTGTACGTCAAAGACCGCCTAAAAAACAAACGTCTACAAATGAAGGCAGTATTCGTATGTTCGTTGTAATTGCAGCAGTCTAGCAACGTGCATTGCGGTCCGATGGCGGATTACACTCGTGCTAAAAAACTATGCCGGTAACTGCCAACGTACTTAGGTCATAGGTGAGGAGAGGAAGGGTTATGTCAAATGTCAACATCAAAGAAATGGCTTCATCTGAGCTGTGCCTATTGTACATAATTCAACCTATCTATGCATTTCGTTTCTTGCAATCTACTCATGCTTTCACTCCAGCTTCAGAGTAATCATCCCATATTGTACGTCTTAAGATATTGATTTCTATGGCAATTTGCAATTGCTAGCCACGTCTCACCTCAGTTTGGTGGCCCCGCATCGGCCCACTCGCCCGCTCTAAAATTGACTTACGGAGGAGGATGGTGGCTTTTATTTTAGCTTCTCCTCTGACTGCGGGGAGCGCCGTCGCCGAGGTAGGAGCAATAATTAGCTTATGTTTGGGACTAATTTCCACGCTTAGTTAACATTTTAATGTTATTTTAATTAATTCATGTTAATCTTTGACGCATTCTCTTTCTATTGATACCATCCACCAGTCCGAGAATTACTGCCTTGCTGCGTAAGGGCCGATAAAAGATCACGCTTTTAGGGGTATCTCTTCAACATGGGGCAGGAGCAATAAATAGAGCGCTCTAATTTTAGCTTATTTCCCTGGTATGTCACCAACTGATAACTTCTTAGTGGATGGACAAGAGCAATTATCATAGCCTTCCCCTCAAGTAAACCTCTGGCACTGATGAACTACACTGACACCTCTGATCCAAGATAAACTTGAAATGTGTGAATCTGTCTAGTCAATCATGCAATTGCAACGGATGGAACTTGAGGTCAATATGATATTTTGCGATACAACGTTACTTTGGAACCTTTTTGCATGTTTGCTTCATATTTTGTAACAAACGCGCAAGAACTGCAATATTACAGCACTATATGCTTCTGGACAAAATGCAATGGTAGTGAAAACTTAGCGCGGATGGTATTCATTCTTAGCCAAACGTAATCACAAAATGTTTTTGTATTAACTATTAAATTCCAGCCAAAAACAGTGCACGGGTTCAAAAAGAATCATTCCAATGGCGGTCCATTCTTGCGGTCCTGAAATCGCCACTATTTCCGGCCTCTCCAACGCAACTCGTTGTCCAGACGTAAATATGCTGCCGCTCGTCAAGTAACCAAGCATGTAACGCATGTAACTACATACCAATACAGTGCTATATACCGTGATGTAACTGAAGCTGTTCGGTACAACAATAGTTGATAATTTCAGTGGAGCTTTTCGGCATTTCATTGGTAACCATTAAAGAGTTTTGTGACGTCAGTGATACTTTTAGGAGTCCTATTGGTGCATTCTCAGCATTGCGCGAATCACCAAGGAGACTGGTTTCACACCAAACAGTATTAGCTCCTCTTAGAACATTTTACTTATTTTTCGTGTTTATCTGGTCTAATGCAATAAGCGCGGCATATCTGTAGCAGAAATATGTTCACTGAGTCGGCCAATCAGCTGCCAGTATTTTTCTCTGTGAGCTGCTTACTCTCTATCTATTGGCCAGCCATGGGTTCGAAAGCCGTATATTGAGAAACAGGAGAACACTTTATTTTGATGTGTCATGATTTTGTAGATGAGTCGGATGAGTCATTTGACCTCAGGGCTGTTCACGGGCCCTGTGTGCGGTCGGACCGCACACAGCTTCCAAGCTCCGCCCACTGCGTCCCTACGTCAGCCTTCCGTCACCGCACACAGCGATCGCTGTGGCCGGTCGGGACTGGCCACAGCGGACCGTCCACCGCACGCAGCCGTGACGTCAGAACCGCCTACCCATCCCCTACCCCCACGCCTGCTGGACGCACCGCACACAGCGCACGCAGCAGTGTGCGGTGCCCGTGAACACCCCTCTCGTGAATTGCGCAGTGGATAAGTGAGTGACTGGCGGATTTTCAGGTTCTCGCACGTTCTGGACCGGTCAGGCTCCATCGAAGCTTACATTGGGCTGACGAGTCACTGGCGACGATGGCAGAGGAGAGGTAGGTGGTATTTAAAGTCGCCTTCGTTGTCTAGCTTTGCATTCGTGCTACGGGATTGAGAAGGATAACGCTGAGCCCCTGCACTACTTTGGAACGTCGGACAAGAGCTGCTTACATCCTAACCAGAACTCTAGGTATATATTTGCAGTTTTCATATTTTCAATTTTTCAAATACCTATTTGCATTTCGGGTTTGGACAATCGTCCAAATCAACAGTGATACTTTTTTATTTATCTTTGGAATTTTGATGAGTAACTATCTAACTTCTTCAGTTAATGCTGTTAGATGTAGTGAAACATGAACTACTTTCCCCCTTTCATCGTAAAACTTTGTCAGCATCAGGGCTGCAGAATCAGAGTCAGAGTTGGTCAGTTGGAGTTAGCAGTTTTGCCCAGAGTGGGAGTTGGGGTCGCTAAAATCTTACCAACACTGCATGGCTCAGTCATGCCCTGGCCACACCTACCTGGTTGCTTGACAATATTTTGCTGATTGACCTTTCAAAATCAGATTTTGCTGAAGCTAAGGACATGCCACTGATTTGGACGCATTTTAATTGAAAAAGCTGAAGATGGCTGGTGTGTCAGAACATATTTTTTTTATTCCTGCATGTTATTTAAAAAGTAATTCTTGCAATGCAAGGCCTTGGAATGTTGAAAGGGTCACATCAAGCAAGAAAAAAATTGAAATGAAATTTAAATTCATTGTATGGAATTAATGAGCAATGTCTGAAGCCATAGTCAAAGTCAGAGTTGATTTTGTAAGCTTGAGTCAGAGTCTGAGTCAGAGTCACCTTAGAGTCCATCGACTTAGCCCTGTCAGAATTGCTTGTGACCTGTGAGTGTTGATTTTATTCCCTGTTTCTGCATTACAGGTTTCCAACCATGGATGGCAAGAACATTTCAGTGAAAGCATACCTCATAGGAGAGGGTGACACCCAAGAAATCCGAAGATTTGGCCTGGATGCGTCTGCAGCGACAAGCTTCTCCTACCTGCAGGGAAAGTTGCGTGTAGTGTTCCCCAGCCTGATGCGCAAGTCATTTGATGTGTGCTGGGAAGATGCTGATGGTGACAACATCACTATTGGATCTGATGAAGAGCTGCTGGTGGCTTTGGTGAGCCTGCTGCAGGTGGGAGGCCAGCAGACGCTCCGTCTGCACGTGGTGCCCAGCCGCGGCGCCCCAGCACCGCCCGCCGACGGTCCCGTCCACTCTGGCGTCTCCTGTGACGGCTGCGAGCAGACCATCCGCGGACACCGCTACAAGTGCATGACGTGCGACGACTTTGACCTGTGCGCTGCCTGCGAGTCGCGCTGTCTTCACCCGGAGCACCTGATGCTGCGCATCCCGACGCCGGACCGCGTTTGGCAGCCCGTGTTCCGGCAGGCGCGCCGCAGCGGCCGCCGCGGCCACTGCCCGGCCGCCTGGGGAGGCTTCGGAATGGCCGGCATGCCCGGCGCCCCGCACTGCGGCCGCTTCGAGCGGCGCGCCGAGAAGGCCGAGCACCAGGCCGAGAAGAGAGCTGAAAAGGCCGAGTACAAGGCCGAGAAGAGAGCCGAAAAGGCGGAGCGATGCGCTGAACGGGCCGAGCGTCGCGCCGAGCGCGCCGCCCAGCGCGGCACGGACGGCGGCGGAGCATCGGCGCCCCGTCCGAGCAACTTCTTCGAGGCGATCCACTCGGCGATGTCCGCGCTGGGCGGGTTCGCTCCGGAGGGCGGCGCCGGCGGCCCGGGCGCCGAGGCCGGCCGCTGGACCGAGAAGAGCCTGGAGGAGCTGGGTCAGACGATCGCTGCCTGCCTGGATCCGTTCGGCATCGACGTGGACGTCGGCGTGGAGACTCGTCAGAAGCGGGCTGAGGAGGCCGGCGGCCAGCAGCGTCAGGCCGCTGCTCAGGCTCCCGCCCAGGACATCGCCGCGGCCGCCACCACCGCCGCTAAGGCCGCCACGGCCGCAGCTGCCAGGGCTGCCTCCGCCGCCGCCGCTGCTGCCACCGCCGCCACCGCCGCCACCGCGAACACGGTGTCCAAGGTAGCCGGCGCCGCGGCCGCCGCCACAGCTCCGGCTCCGGCGGCCGCCACGACTCCGGCTCCGGCCGCCGCCACGGCTCCGGCTCCGGCCGCTGCTCCGGCCCCGGCTCCGGCTGAGAAGATGGAGGCCGAGCCTGCGGTGGCGGATGGCGTGCCCAGCCAGACGGAGCCGGCCGCCGCCGCGCCGGCTGAGAAGGTGATCCCGGTGACGGTGGAGGACGTGCCCAACGACCCGGCCGACGACTGGACCATGGTGAGCGGCACCAGCACGCCCTCTGAGGCCAGCTCCGGCGCCTGCAGCCGCGTCTACCCCGACCTGGCCACCGAGGCCCCGGCCGTGGCCACACCGTCCCAGACACCGCCGACCGCCGCCACTCCGACCCCGACCCCGACTCCGACCGCCGCTACCCCGGCTCCGACCCCGACCGCTGCTGTCCCGGCCGAGATGGCCGCTGCCTCGGCGCCGCCTGCCTCGGAGCCGTCTGTGCCGCTGGAGCCGCGCATTCAGCGTGCACTGGACGCCATGAGCGCCATGGGCTTCACCAACGACGGCGGCTGGCTGACGCAGCTGCTGCAGGCCAAGGGCGGCGACATCAGCGCCGTGCTGGACGTGCTGCAGCCGGTGCCGCGCCGCGGCCAGTAGGCGCCGTCGGCAGCCGGCCGCCGCGCCACAGCCAGACGCCGCTTCGGCGGTGGCGCTTGCTTCATGTGGTGGACTATCGCAGCAGCGGTGTGATCGATACGTTCTGAGGTAGAACGTGTGGCATTCACCCAAAGAAATTATTGGTGTTCGTTTTTAGATCTTGCTTGCAGAAATATGTTATTCTCAATGGATTGTGATCCTTTTGGTAGATGTTTACAGGTTTATCGTTACGACTCTTAGATGTGTGACATCCCACTGCACACGGATTTATCGATGATTAGTCTGGAAAGCGCGTCGGGTAGACGTCGCTACGTATTGCCCTCACCAGATACCGACATGTACCGCTTTTGGTGTTAATAAACCGACAAAATCCAATTGTTTCTGCGATAATTTGTTTGTTCCCACCTGACTTCCTCTACAGCGTAACGAATAGATTACGGCCAAACAGGTCGGCGTATTGCAGCAGGAGCGGTAGAGCTCCGGGATGCGTCTCGCATGAACCGTGATTCAGAGCTGGAGCGATGACAGCGGCAGTGCGGGTCGCCATATCCCCTCGGTTCCCCAAAATACGTTCCCTACAGCCTACTAATAGTTCCTCCTGTTGGCAGACAGCTCAGTCCCGAGCCGCACACAGTGCGTGCTGCGACTTGCACTGAAGGTCGCCCGCACTGGTGTCAGACAGGATTTCCCGCAATCTCCAGATAAGGCGTCCTTGGACCGAAAGGCTGCAGAAGGCTGCAAAATACCAGTTCGTGAATCACTCAGACCCAGCCGACCGTCTGCTGGGTGGCGAATCTCTGTCCGTCACTGGATGAGACCGGTTGGTGTTCAGTGTCCTCTGCTCTCCGCTGGCGGACTGGGACGGCCTGACGTGTTTGTTCACGCTCTGGATGACGCATCCATGCAGTAGATGCGAGCATGCGACAGTGACGTCAGAGTCCGTTGTGCAGTGATGCTGACCGACTTGTAGGAGACTAGCATTGTATGGCTCATGCCAATGGCTCAGCTGCGCTCTGGCGTTGTAAAATCGTACGAAGAAGAGCGAACAGCTATTTATTCATGACAGGGATATTGTGGTGTCTGGGTTTCAAAAATTGAAATTTGTTTTTAAATCCGCACCGGGCCGGTGCTGGGCGCCACCTACGCCGGGCTGTGGGCATAGGCGGCGGAACGGGGAGGGCACCGGGGCACCGTGCCCCCCTTCGATTTTGACATTTTAACATTAGCCCTATGGGCAACGTTAACAACGCATGGGCGTTACAACGCCCATGCAACGCCCATAGGCGTTGCATGGAAAGAATGGGACCAAAAGTCGGCAGTGCCCCCTTAATTGAAGGTGTTCCGCCGCTACTGGCTGTGGGGGGGGGGGGGGGAGAACACCTCTCACCCCGTCTAACTGCTGCTAGCTGAGACACGTAGTGGCACGTGGTAGCAGGTGTTTGAATCTTTAACCCTCGCCAGGAGAGGGCCTTTTCCAAAACACGGACGGCGAGGGGGGGGGGGTCGTACCAACCCCCGCCCCCTCGCCGTTCGTGTTTTGGAAAAGGCCCTCGCCTGGCGAGGGTTAAAGATTCAAACACCTGCTACCGCGTGCCACTACGTGTCTCAGCTAGGAGCCTATGGCACTTAGAAACGCCAAATTTACAGTGTGGTGGGTCCATAGGAGATTTAGGGTTTTTTGGGCAGTGGCGGATCCAGGGGGGGCAAAATGGGCATTTGCCCCCCCCCCAAACGGCATAATTTTAGCATTACGCCTATGGACGATGCATGGAAAGAATCGATAAATTGTTATGGTTTGCCCCCCCCCCCCAAAAAAGCTCTGAGCTTGATCCGCCTCTGTTTTGGGGGGGGGGGGGTATGAGTGCAATTTTTTTCTAAAACATGTTAAAAGTTTTTTTCGCTTATAACTTTTTACCTAGTAAAGATAGAGCAAAAAAAAAGCACCAGTGAACTCAGGACGTCCGTGCGCATCGAATGATAGGTATACCTACTTTGTTTCCAATTTTAGTGAACTCTGGAATTCAGTTGCCGCTAAGCTAGTTAGTCCAATTTTCCCCTGACCTTGTACCGGTTTTTGTGACCTGGTGACCTGACCTGAAAAGACTGGGACTTCAAATTTTCAGGAAAGGTGCGAAAATGTTGCCCCAGAGGGTATGCCAAATTTGGCGGCGCTACGCGACGCCGTTTTTACATTAGTTGCGAAAAACCTTAGGGGGGTTGCATCAACCCCCCCTCGTCGGGCGAGGGTTAACCCTCGCCGGCACAGGGGGGAGGTGTTGATGCACCCTCCCCCTAAGTTTTTTCGCGAGTAGCTCACGTAATAAGCGGCTAATCGCGACGAAACTCTTAGTGCCCTCGCGTTAATCAATTTTACACCTACCCTGAAAATTTTATGACTCTGACCCAAAGGACGTCCGCGATCTTTCCTACGTCAGCAGTCAGGTGACTTGACATCAAAATGCTATGCCATTACGATAAGACATCAACCGAATGAGGTCACAAGCTTGCAAACTTATAGACGTATGATACGCTCTAAGAACCCATCTGAGTTAATAAAATTGCCTCCAGTTAGCGTGTTCTGAACCCGAGGATCTGAGTTCACAAATTACGATGTTCTCATGGTACACATCGCAGTCTCTGTGTTATGCGGAACAGTATAACTTTAGGCGCTAACCACTAACGCCATCTATTATCGAAGCAAATAACTATTCACGCTGCGTCGCAACTGAAGGGAATGCAACCGCCTCGGCAGTTTTTTTTGGTAGGGTAGTGATGTATTTTGCATGAACTACAGCCATGTAATCGGCCAGGCGAAATAGCGTGAAAGAGCAGCAATGACGTGACATAAATGAATTAACCCTCGCCGGCACAGGGGGGGGGGGGGTTGATGCAACCCCCTAAGGGTTTTCGCGAATAACTCGCGTAAAAAGCGGCCGATCGCGACGAAACTTTCAGTACCCTCGCATTGATCAATTTTACACCTACCCTGAAAATTTCATGACCCTGACCCAAATGACCTTTGACCTGAGACCTCTTTTCCGAGACCATGCCGGAATCGCGATTCGACGTATGTCGGCTCGCATTAGCCGCGCGTTTGCAAGCTTTTCGTGGTTTCAAACGTTCAAACATGTGATTTGATGTTGCTCCCATACATTAGGGTGGGTGTCAAGGTCACCTGAAGGTCAGGTCAGGTCATTGACCTTTGGTGACCTCGGGTGACCTCTGTTCACTTTTTCGAGTTTTACATGTTTCTAGGCTAGTTTTTGGAGCTGAATTCGAATTTAGCAACCATTTCAACATTTACGAAGTAGTTTTGGTGCCTTCGTAGCATGTTACGAAGCTGTCAGAGGCGGTTGACACGTATTACGAAAACCCGTAACAACCCCTACCGGTTGACCTGACCTGACCTGAACCGACCTGGTCTAAATGCTTAAAGACATCATCTCTGATCAAAACTAACACGATATTCGTGATCAGCACCCCGGAAAACCACATAGCAGCCACACTTTACGACTTTCTAACAGGTCCCGATTTTCCTGGTTTTCGGGTCATTGACCTGACCTGGAAGGTCAACCGATGAATTAGGACCTTAAAATAGGATATTACCGACTTCCTCTCGTGACGGGCAACACGCTCGTTTTTCCGCGAAGCTCTCGATCAGGGGCGAGACGGCGAGACCCCCCTTATACGTTCGCGGCTGGAAAAACACCAATACGGGCGAGGGCTAGAGTATTGAGCTTCTTGCCCCAGGCCATGGGGCGTTCTGCTCTAGGGTTGGGGCAAAATGCCCCATTTGCAGCTGCATCACAAATCACTTCCTAGCTGGGAGTCGGATCATAAGTGAAATAATTTGAAGGGTGGAATTTAAAGAAAAATGTCCAGAGATCGCATTGAGCACAAATTTAGCCTTCCAGGTCATATGGAACAAAAGTTATGTAGCAAAATAAATTATCTGGGGCGTCTTGCCCCAGGCTACCCTATTGGCTCCCGAATCCCGACTTATGCGCCAATTTGTAAAAAAAGTTGTCAAAATCGGGAGCAGAAATTCCTAAAACAATACGTTTCAGATCTTATAGCGAGCTATCTATTGCTGTGTACCATGTCTTCCTAGCTTGCTTCCTTTGGGTCCGGAAATAACCTGATGTGGCTAACTACCTCCCCCCCCCCCCCACCAACAGTAAAGTTGGTTGAGAGGCCCGCCCCGGCGCGGGTTAACCCACGACCTGCTGGGGGGGGGGGCTATTTTTCCCCCTCCAGACTTTTCGATACCTATCTATATCTCCAGAATTGCTGCGCCGATCTCACCAAACTCTCAGTACCCTCCCGGGCATCAATTTTACACATTGTGACCAAAACTTTTTCCAAAGGCAATGATAGGTTGGCCGCAAATGACGTCAGAGTGCCGTCATGTTCTGCCGTTTTCGACCCAAAAAAAGGTTTTGCGGAAGAGCTGTCAGGCCTATAGCGTTGAAGATACATAAAAACGTTCACGACATAAAAAGTGTAGAATTACCAGGGCTACAAAATAGCTATCTCGACATTTTGATTTTTTGAATTTTGATCCCCCCCCCAAAAATGAACATAATTGCCAAAAATTCCAAAAAGTTTTTTTCGACTTTCGAAAAAAACGGAATATATGTGATAGCCCTTAACGACTTCTATTCACATACCAAATTTTTGATCGATATCTCTCTTTTTGGCCAAGTTATAGCGAAAAAAAATGTTAAAAATTGATGACGTCAAATTTTCAAACTCAATTTTTAGCAATTCTAGACCACGTAGCGCAAAACAAAGACCACCATTAGACTCACCGTGACGAGTTGCATCGAATCAACACCTATTTTATGCAAAAATATCAAGTTTGAAATTTGAACTTTTTAACCTGACATTGACCTGACCTCCACCATGAAGTGACCTTAACCGTTCCTGATAGTGTTATAATCAACACCATTGAGTTTGAAATGAAAAAAATTGCCATAAAACATGCATCACCCAGCCCTAGCAAAATTGGGTTCATGACCCTTGGTGACCTGACCTGTGACCTGACCTGGTGTTATCAGTGACCTCTAATAGCAACATATGCACGAGGCAACTGACGCCCTATCGCTGATTTTCGATAAAATGCGTTCTATTCGATGTTATAGCCATTCCCTAAAAGACCCGTGACCGGCAAAACATTTTATCTTTGACCTGACCTGTGACGTCGTCGGTGACCCCGAGTTCAATGAAATTAGATTTCCTTCGACAAATTTGACTGGGCTTGCGAACGCCGTTTGAATTTTGTGGATCCGTCCAGTAGTTTCGGAGATACGAAGGGGGAGGGGGCAAAAAATAGCCCCACCCCCCACCAGGTCGCGTTATAAACAGACCCCACC